ATATTAATCTATAATTAATATATATAAATGCATCCATGCATATGGCTCTTATTTCATTAACTCGTTTTATATGTTTGATTTAATCATTTTGTGTATTTAATGCATTTATGCATTACTTTAAATATATTATTTTGTGACACCCCTCGCAGCGTAAAAAGTTCCGGTTAGCTTTCGTAATATGGCGACACCGCTCTCCTTTCTCTCTCTCTCTCTTTTTCGAATCTGCCCCTCTCTCGCCTTGTCTATCGTGCCCACTTGTATGTGTAAAACGTTTAGCCAGCAAACACTCGATCAGCTGTTCAAAGCGGAACTGCTGCTTCATGTAACCCGTAAGAGAACTGCAAGTTCTCTTAGCATACAAAACACTCTTGACTGAAGAACAACCTAAGCTGCTTATGAGCTCTTTGAATATCGTTTACCGCTGCTGTGGTTTGTGTACGAGCTAAAAGCTTCAGTTACAGTTTAGAGATCATAGTGTAAATGCTACAATGCGTTTATCATTAATACAAATAAATATTCAAATATTAATCATATCCCATGTACATATATATATAATAAGCAATAATTTGTATACCGAAATCCCATCAAACAGCTTTTATACACTTGAAATGCTTTCGAATTGAACAGCTCATATAACCTTACATATGGCATTCATACATCAGCAACAAAGTCTACCCACAATTGCAACAATTATCCCTCAATTGTCAGCCTTAGTTATGCCTGCCAACCAGCTGCTGCTCTGCTGCTCTGCCACTCTTCTGAGCCCCCCTTTTCATAGAGCTTTTTAATGCCTTGTTAACGACCTGTCAAGGTTTTCTTTCCTGGCAAAGCTCTTTTAGCTGCGACACAATCGGAAATGTTGCCGCAGGGCCAACAGATGCTGAATTGAAAAAGCTTTTCATTCATAACCTTGCACAACAACAACAACAACAACAGCAGCATCAGCAGCAGCAAAAATTACAATAACACACATTTCTGAAATGCAGCCCGCAAATGCTTCACTTTGAATCCTTTCTCATTCTCCCTCTCTGAAATTATTGCCGTTATGCTTCTTATTATAATGTTTTAATTTTTGTTTCTGTTGGCGCTGCTTTGAAACTTTTATTATGCCCGTGGGCGCTTCGTCTATAATCGCCTTATAGTTTTACCCTAATGAACGGCTGTTTCTGCCAGTTGCTGCTGCTGCTTTCTCTTCTTCTTTCACGTGTTTCGCCTGCGCCTACGCAGCAAACGAAGAGGAGAGTCGCAGTCGGATGCCAACTGTTTCCCGTTAGCTGCTATACGCGCTAAGCTTTCGCACAGCACACACTAGCAGAGCAGCAGTGACAGAGTGAATTTATGCAGCAGCTCACTCATTGAAGCTAGCCGTTGCCGCTGCCTGCGTCGGCGTCAACGTCACTTTCAGGGTCTAGGTCGAGGTAGCAAAGAAAGCGGCAGTGAGAATGACATCGACGGCTTGTTTTTTCTTCTTTATTGAAGTTGTCAATGCGTGTTGGCGTTTGTATATCTGTGTGTGTGTGTTACTTGATCTGAAGGTCACCCACACTGTCAAAATCACAGTTACATGCGTTTTTCATATGGCCAAATTAGTCTATGGACCAGTTGAATGACAGCAAATGCTTCGGGTTAAAGTAAATGTAAAATGGGAGAGCTGAGAGGGAGAGATTACATCAGTCATGATAATATGTTTGTATGCATAATATATAAAAATAACCTTCTTTGAACCCTTCAGAAAACTGCATTAATTATCCTTGTTTATGGGTGTCAAATTAAGTTTTGGATCATCCTCTGCTGTTTATTTGGAAAGGCCAACTTTATGCTTAAGCGCGCTGCTCGCCCACAAAGATATGCAACATATCTTGTACACACACAGACGCACACATACATAATTAAACGAATAAATATTCAAGGATCCAATTGACAATAGGTTATACATACCCATCCACACACACGCTGACACCTACATTTAAAAGGCAAAAGCTCTCTCTGCCGAAAATTGCGGCGCAAGTTAATCAAATTGTAAATCAAACGCAGCTGAAACGCTGACGGCGCTGCCAGCAGCGCTGCTATAAAATATACACTTTATGGCAAAGGCCGCGCGCGCGCTTGCCAAAAGCTTTTGTCGCGCTCACGCAAAAGCTTCGCTCTGTGTGGGTGGACCGATGATGCCGACGTCGGCGTTGTTTGTGCTGCTGCTGTTAGTGTGCTGCCTTCAGTTGCTTTCGAATTGTGCGCCATGACGGTTGCTCCATGTTAACCAACAATCAATTATCACCTAAACCACCACCAACAACAACAACAGAAACACCCACAACTACACGAACTACTACAACTAAAGCCAACAACAACATCAGCAACAACGACAACTCAATAAAACGTTTTCGCTGCAACTGAAATTGTGTAAGTCGCGTTCTAAAAACGATTTGTGAATTTAATCAAATCTCAATAAAAACTTTTAAGTGTTGCGTGTGTTTTATTCAAGTATCGTATTTTTTGTGCGTGTCCTTACTGCAGTGCGCGTGTCCTTCGTGACTCTTGGGTCGCATAAAGTGTCAAAAACAATACAAAATTCAATTCCTGTAACATCACACGTCATTTAACGTCAACTCAAATTTTAAAATATTCATCCAAATATCGGATGTATATATTTATACATTTATAGATAAACGCAGCGTCAAGGACCTTGCGCTGGCCAATTAGTCAGTGGCAGTCCTAGCACCGACTGCTGCATGCAGCCCTCAAACATATGCCCCGTTCTCAGTCTGGCCAACTCTGCCAACTGCCAGCTGTGCCATACCCTGCCATAGTCGAGTTTATGCTGACTTCATTACCAGCTAATTAACTGTACTATGCCTTCCCAGTACTGACCATCCGCAATATCCTTTTTGCTGACCTCCGTGCCGTGTCATGCGATGCCTTTCTGAACTGAAGCTAACTGAACTGAGCTACATGGAAGCTTTCTGTCCATGCATGTTTATGTATTTATTATACATATTTCTTTAAATGCGTGACCTTACTCAAACTACTATACTAGACTTTACTATATATCCAATACTGACTTGACTGTACCTCAAATACCACACTACGAGTATATATTGCAGACAGTTTTATTAACTGTCAGTGGACATCAGCTTTAGACACAATCTTTAGTTAGCCATACTTCAAATTGACTCCAACTCTAATATTACAAATAATTCCTTTGCCATATTCTAATTAAACTTCAGCCGAAACTATTTTCGTAAAATCGTCTTTAGATTTTCTAAATACTCTTTAATTTCGTGGAACTTTGTAAAACTCCATCAGCCATCAGATATAATACCATTCATCTAAAATTTGCATAGACTAGAAATTCCACTTCCACGAATTTATGCTGTTAATTAAAATTCATGTCAATTTTTATATCACTTACTGAGCATCCCCTCGCTAATTTTAATTATTTGCTCAGAACAGATTAGTTTTCTTACCTCCTCTTCTTAAGGCAAGCTGAACAATCAAAAAGAGAAATTCCATCGAGCTAGTTAGATCAAAAATATACCTTTAATTGCATATCCTAGATATAGCTGTTCATTATATCCGGTTCAAAGCCGTTCAAAGCTTAACTTTCAATGTATGCTTAAAATATGAATTAAATTTTGCATGCGCCCAGCTGCTGAAGACTTTTGTTTGGTTAACGCAAATTTGCTTCACGTGTCATATGCACTTCCCTTAAGGGATCCCATTGTTGTCCCTGGCCTGGCATGTTGCTCTATAGGGTAAATAGTCCATTCACATTCGTATATGCAGCTATGCATGTAGACACTGCTGGCAATTGCTGCAATTGAGCTCTGCGCCAAAATTTAAGGGGTCTCCAGTCGTCTTGGACCCAAAGGTAGTCCACAAATATTTGGACAAAGTTTTGGGCATCCTGACCTCTACAGCCACGACCCGAGCCCCACAGGCTTACTGTGCTCCAGCCAAGCGTGGCCAAACGCAAAATTAATTCCAGCTTCCGCTGGCCCGGCACAACCGAGCAGCAAAGCCTGCAAAAGTTTTTCTTGCCTTCTTCTTTGCTATTCCCAGCCAGGCTCATTGTTATTGGAATGTCTATGCTCTCGCTGCCCTCTTTCACTGTTTCACTGTTTTTGCGCACGTACTTGTGTCCTTGCTATCGGTATTTTAATTTTCCCATCAAATATGTAACGCACAGTGAATGGCATTTATTTTATTAATAGCTGTTCGAAACTGAGCTCTTATGGACTATACATAATTTATATAGAAATAAGTCTTTCACTTTTCGCTTCTGCTGCTGCCATTGTCTCATGGCGTGGGCCCGGGCTGGGGCCCAATGCTACGAAATGTATATATCTGAGAGCGGGTAGAAGATGTGTGATATCTCATCATGCACTCCACACGTTGAGCATCGAATGCAGTTATATTATTATATTAATACGACTATTTTATTATTCCATATAAATTTTTTCTACTCCACTGTCTTTCCTCAAACAATATTTTATAATATATCATTGATAAATATAAATAGTTATATTCTTTGTAGCTTCAAATTTTCAAGACATATGAGCATGAAGGAGAACGGAACTTATACGAATGCTCTCAAGGCTCTTTTCCCTTATTGGCCAATTGCCTCCCTATCCACAACTATTTGCTAAATGATTCAATAATAGTTAATCAAAGCGATTCAAAGGAGCTTACCTTATTTTCAACTCAATCAGTGGAGAGATCATTTCTCGGTCAGTTAGGGTATTCAGCCGTTGTTACTCTCAGCGTGCATTTTGTGTTTTCGCTTCTTTATTCTTTGGCCCGTTTGCCTTTTGTTATAGTTATTGCTGTTGCTACCTTAGTATCCTTGTCCTTGGCTGGCGCTCGTCAATGCTCAACGTCGCTTTTCGCTTTCCTGTCTGTTTGCCTTGTGCCTGGTTCCTTCCTGGTTCCTGCTCGACGTGAACGTGCGCTGTTTCCTGCTCACACAGATTCGCTTGTCCTGCCGTGTCCTGTGCCGTGTGTTGCGTGTTTGCCTTGGCTCTCTTCTGCTGCTCGGCTTCCTCGGCTCGCCTCCTCCCGTCTCTACCAGTGCCTCTGGCCTTAATTCTTTTCCCTTTTGCCTTTTGCATAACCAACAATTAACGACTTAAAGCCGAGGAATTAAACACAATAACAATTAGCAATTAAAAAAGCAACAATAATAAAAGAGATATCAAACAGCAGGCCGGTAAGTTTAGCAATTATATTATATACGTATATACATATACATATACATATATTTGTATTATATTTTATATTATATTGTATATGGGGAACAACAGGTGTTCAATCCTCCTCCTCATGCAAAACTCGATGCGGGCAATTTGATTGATTGCCCCAACATTGGCCTCACTTGTCCCACATGACGTATGCGTGATATGAGGCGTTTAGCCAAATTCAATCAACTGCAGTCACTTTGAAATGATTTCCGTCTAGGGTCGACTTGCTTACAGTTTGACCAATTAAATAGCCTATATCAGGGAAAACTTATAAGAAGTTAATGCTGGAAAATAGATTCATTTACCTCATTCTGAAAAATCTTATAGAGGGATGCGAATAATATATATTTAAGCAAGACTGAAATGCAATGTTAGATATTTACGTTTTTACTAGAGACTCACTTTGGAGCAGTTTGTTTTGTCACATTTTTAAATTACTTTTATTTAACAATTTTAGTTTTTCATTCATTTTAATATCCCATATTTTTAGCTGAACGATTAATCTTTAAACACAATCATAGCTGAGAGTTTTATAGATCATGACTTCAATCGCAAATCGCTGCTCATGAATGTGCAAAAGAAGGTTCTCCAAGGTTCCCTCGATTTTCAATATTATTTTTATGGATCACTGAGCTCAGGAAAATCTGCACCTTAAGTCAAAAACGTTTTTAATCTTTGCTTCCAGCTAACGCTAAGCCATCAAACGAAAGTTTCCCCTCTTTGAGTACTTTAAACGTGACCACAAATTCATCAGTTACGTCATCTCCATTTATCAAATAGAAAATAATCATTTGCTAGAAAATCAAGTAAATTGAAATTGAAAGCTGACCAAGTTTCCCTTTCCTCATTTTATTTCTATTTGATGCCAACTGGATCGTTTAAAGTCGCTTTCTTGGAATTTGAAAAGGTTGCCAAAGGTGGAACAAAAGCCAGCACGATTATATTATAAATCAAACTAATCAAATCCATCAATCAACAGGAAAAAACTCGAGTGAAAATATTAAATATGGCCTTAAGTATAAACAGAACATTCTATGTAAAATTTGTAACACCTAAAAAGCAGGAAAAATATCAATTTTACAACGGAAATATTCCGCCATCGAAGCAATACACTCAATTTATAGGTATAGATTTCTAGACGTAGCCTTATCGACTATATCTCTGAGAGTACGTAGTAAATAGTGAATGCGTTTTGGTAAGCTAGACTGAAGCTAGGGCTTGGCAAGGGTGAGAAAGCTATATGTTCCATAAAAGTTGAATTATGGTTGAGCTGCGTTGTCTTTTAAGCTGACTGCATCCTCCATAGATCTATTTGAAGCAACAAAATGCGATAATTCAATTACTGGAAATCGATTTAGGCTAAGTACAAGCCGTCAAGGTTTCTGCTTCCACAGTTTTTTTAATGAACTAATTTCATGTTGAATAGACCTATAAATTATATGGTGCGACCTTTCAGGTGTAAAATTCTGATCACATTTTTACCCTGATCAGAGGAACCTGTTTGTGCTATATTAAGCATGTCATCAAAAGGAAAATATATAAAAAATGAACCTATAGCCTACATCATTCAACGACTAATACCGATCCAGATGACTTATATTAAAAGACAATAACATTATATTTCAAGGCAACGCAAATTCTACAATCGCTTACGAAATTATAAAATCCCATTCGCCGACCTACGTTGGTATTTTCTATTAAGCAAAGATTAAAGCTGGGTCCTCACTTTCTTAGGCTCGTTTAGCCTTAATACGAGATGTTTATTTCAATGTTTTCTTATATATATATATATCACGTCGTGGCTTAGTGCCAAGTACACAGGATGCACGTCCTTTAGCGGACACTCTTTGCACTAAGGAAAGGTTGTGAACTTTGACCTTAACGCCAGCGAACAGCCGCATTGCCATTGCCACAGCAATAACAATAGCAACAACTGCGACAACAAAARCTACAGTAACAACAACAACAACAATGCTTAGCTAAGCTGTTAAATAGTTTGTGCATGTCCCCTTGCATCCTGTAGCTTGTATCCTTTCTATCCGATTCTTTGCCTTGACGACAACTGCAAGCAGCTCCTCCTCCACCCACACATACCTTTAGCCTCCACGCCACCTTTAGCATTGCTGCATATTGTTTTTATGGCGCTTACTCTAACAATTTTCACAACTGCAATTGCAGCTGTGTTTGTGTGTGTGTGTGCACATGTCTGTGGCTTACTGATTGTATTAGTTATTTGCGGCTAACATTGACATTTATGTGCATTTGAGCACGTCTTTTGCTCAGCAATATATTTTTAAAACAAGTGAAATAAATTGTGTCTATACAAAACTGGTGAAGATAAAATTGAAATAGAAACATTTCTTAGAATACTACCTCAATAAAAATGAGCAGACTATCTATAAATAGGCGAGCTGATCGACTTAGGGCTTTTTGTAGGCAAATTAACATTACATTAGCGTACGTTAACATTGCACTAACATTATCTTGACGTAATCTTAACAATTTGTTAACATTAACAAAACATTACATTTACATTATGCAAATTAACACTAGCATAAACAACTAAAGCAGGCAATAGAAGTTAAACCTAGACATACTCTGCTTACCTTAAAAATGGCAAACGTTTTACTTCTTACATGATTGTAACTCAAAAAAAAAATCCTTTTAGTTTTTGGCCATCATTTGCCTCTCCATATGACATTTATTGTCTTGGGATATACTTTATACATCAATTCATATAGAGTTGTTTTCCAAAGCTTGTCCGTATTTTAAGCTGTCACATGACTTGCAAACACTTTTACCAAATGACAGCCACATTTCTGTTTTCCATTCACCTGTTTTCTCAGACAAATGCACAAATGCATTAGATAAAACCGAGCAACTGACAATGGGAGCCACAGCAAAACCGAAGGCAACTTAAATTAAAATTAGTGGAAAAAATGATTGCTTCTATTGCTCAAGTAAACGAATCGGAGTGCTCTATATAAAAACAAAGCCAGCAACTCTAAAGAAAATATATTTGATTTCCTTGTTCATTTCGAAGTTGGACTGCTTAAATTACACGTATATATGAAAGATTTAAATTTGTTATATCATTTTAACTATTGCCTTATAACGAAACTAAAAAATACATTTTTAAAAATCTTTAAAAATTGAAGTATATATTGTTGTAATCGATTTGCTTGAGTGAGGCTCGAACCCCAGACTTCTTGATAACTTTTTAACAGTTTGTGCACCAAAAGCAATTATTAAAAATTAAAAAAAAAAAAAAAAAAAAAAAAAAAAAAAAAAAAAATCTCTCGGATCGACCGTGACAGGACTCGAACCTGCAATCTTCGGATCCGAAGTCCGACGCCTTATCCATTAGGCCACACGGTCACTTAGCGATTACGTGGCAAACATACTATTTCTAGCAAAGCATATGAAATGCACAATAATTCTCACAAAATGGCAAATGTTATCATTTCAATGGCAATTTTAATAGCATTTTAAATACTACAAGTATATTAAATGAAACCAAAAATATAAAAAGAAACATAAATTAAA